ATACAAGTTCCTTGGTTGATCTCTTCCCACGCACCCAACCCCAGCTTCCTCTGAGATTCAACAGTCTCTTCCATGCTTCTATGTCATTTTCATATTCTTATCAGTCTTAAATAAATGATAGCACCCTGCACAAACTTTTCTACAACTTTTATTATTCGCTCGAAGATATATCCTAGAGATTTCTTTATTGTAATACTAGAGGCCCAGCGCACTGAATCATGTGCGGGTAGGGTCCCTAGACCTAGCCTGCAATCAGGCCCATCTTCTGCCCACTCGCCAGTTCCCGGTCCGGCCCTGCTGCCCCTGCCAGCCACCCAGTTTCCCTTGCCTGCCACAGGTCCCGCCCCGCTGCCAGCCACCCAGTACCCTTCACCGTCCTAACCCTGCTGCTGCCACCAGCCAGCCGGTTCCCCTCGCCAGCCCTGGGTCCCACCCTGCTGCTACCGCCAGCCACCTGGTTCCCCTTGCCGGCCCCAGGTCCCACCCCACCACCAGCCACCCGGTTCCCCTCGCTGGCCCTCGTCCTGTCCCGCTGCTGCCACCAGCCACCCGGTTCCCATTGCCGGCCCCCTACCTCATAGCAACTGATAGAGTGGTTGTTCTGGTCATTCTGCTTATGGTCGCTGGCCTTTTATTATATAGGATATAGACACTTGGTCATTCCTTTTTATAATTGCATAGTACTGCTAAGAATACTTTTAAAAAATGTATATACCAAACATAGTATTTAACTCCAAGCTAATGCTATTACTGAGCGGCAAACCACCCTGTAACTCAGTGTCTTAAAACAATAATTTCCTCTCATTCAGCCGTTTGCTGTGAGTTGATTGATCCAGGCTATTTGTTTAGGTGGCTGTGCTTCAAGTTACAGGTCTTGTTGTACTTGGCTCCAGAGCAGGTTGAGCTCAGCTATGTTCCATGCATTTTCATTCTAAGATCCTTTTAAGGGATTGCAGGTAACTCAGTAATTACCTGGTTTCACATGTGTAATGATAACATAGAAATATAAGAGGGCAAGCAGAAACTCATAATACTTCTAAAGGCCTAGGTTCAGAATTGTCATAATAACATATCCAATCATATTCCATAGATATAGTCAAGTCATAGATGCTACAAAGTTATCTTAGTGGTCTTCCCTGGCCTACCTATCAAAAAATTTAATCTCTTCTTAATGTTTCATATCTCCCTTCCCTGCTTTAAATCTCTATTACCCTCTTAAGTCCATATGTATATTTAAACCATTTATCTTGTTTATTGCCTGTGTATTCCCTTTCCAGTGCATGTATAACTAGAGCAGGGTTTTCTATATTTTTATGTATTGTATCCCCAGCACCTAGAACATAGTTGATACTCAGTTAATATTTGTTGAATGAATAAATGAGGGCATGGAGTGAAATGGGGTTAGGGAGACCTATCACTCATAAGTCTTTTCCCCTCAGTACCCTTTTTTGTTATTGTCAAGGTTTACTTTTATAAAATGCACAGATCTTAAGAGTACAGTTAGATAAATTTCAACAAAACTATACTCATAAACCACAACTCCATTTAAGGTATAGATCTTCCTACGAAGTTTCCTCATGTCTGTTTCACATCAGTTCTCTTTTTTGTCACCATAGATTAGTTTTTCCCAGATTTGAATATCATTTATATAGAATCATATAGCATATACTTTTTTTGTATTTCCTACTTGCACTCAACATAATGTTTTTGAGATTTATCCGACTGATTGCATGTATTAGAAATTAATTCCTTAAGAAAACATAATAAAGGATGTGAAGGACCTATACACTAAAAACTAAGACATTATTAAAATAAATTGAAAAAGACACAAAGAAATGGAAAGATATTTTTTGTTCATGAATTGGAAGAATCAACATTGTTAAAATGGCCACTTTACCCAAAGCAATATACAGACTTAATGCAATCCCCATCAACATTTCAATGACATTTAAAAAAGAAATAGAACAAGAAATCATCAGATTTATATGGAATGAAAAAAAGACCCCAAATAGCCAAAGAAATCCTGAGAAAAAAGAACAAAGCCAGAGGTATCACACTACCTGACTTCAAATTATACTACAAAGTGACAATTATCAAAACAGCAAGCTGTTGGCAGAAAAACAGACAGACCAATGAGACCGAATTGAGAGCTCAGAAGTAAACCCACATGTATGTGGGCAAATAATTTTCCACAAAGGCTCTAAAAACCTACATACAATGGAGGAAAGAAAGCCTCGTTAATAAATGGTGCTGGGAAAATTGGAAAGCCATGTGCAAAAGAATGAAATCAGACTATTTGTCAGTAAACATAAAAATTAACTCAGAATGGATCAAAGACCTAAATACAAGATCTAAAACAATCCTCCTATATAATAAAAGCCTAATATGCTAAGTGTCTGGTAGTCTGTTCAACCAATTAAAGCGTAATATCTATTGATATGCTAAGGCCGCTCAACTGCTTGTTATGATGTGCACTGACCACGAGGGGGCAGATAGTCGACTGGTCGACCAGTTGCTATGATATGAGCTGACCACCAAGGGGCAGATGTTCTGACCGGTAGGTTAGCTTGCTGCTGGGGTCCTGCTGATTGGGACTGAGCGAGATGGGCCGGACACACCCTGGAGTCCTCCTGTGGTCCCTCTCCGGCTGGCCAACCTCCTGCATCCCCCTCCTTCGGCCCTGATCGTGCACTGGTGGGGTCCCTTGGCCTGGTCTATGCCCTCTCACAATCTGGGACCCCTTGGGGGATGTCCGAGAGCCAGTTTTGGCCCCATTCCGCAGGCCAGGCCAAGAGACCCTACTGGTGCACAAATTTGTGCACTGAGCCTCTAATAAATCACATAAAAGAAAACATAAGGCCCTAGCCAGTTTGGCTCAGTGATGGGAGCATTGCCCATGGACTGAAGGATCTCCGAGTTTGATTCCAGTCAAGGGCACGTACCTTGGTTGCAGGCTTCATCCTGGCTCCCCCTCCCCCCTTTGGGGCATGTGCAGAGGCAACCAATCATGGATTTAAAAGAACCTAAATTAGCTCTACATATAAACAGAAGAATTTTCTCGTACATTCATAACGAACCAACAGCAACTGTTCTTAGAGCTCAAAATTAATTACAGCTTCCCACAGCCATTTTCGTAGAAATGAAAAAGCTGATCCTCAAATTCAAATTCATTCAGAATTATAAGGGACCCAGAATAGTGAAAACAAGTCTTTCATTCCTTGGTTAAATTTATTCCTAGATATTTTATTCTTCTATTCCAATTTCAATGTGTTTTATTTATTTATTTTTTGCCTAATTGATCTGGCTAGAATTTCTAATATGATGCTTTAGACGTGGCAAAAAAAAAGTGGGCATTCTTGTTCCTGCTCTTAGAGCAAGCATGTCAAACTTGCGGTCCATGAGCTGCATGTGGCCCACAACGAATATCTTTGCGGTCAGCCAGTATAAGGGTATGGAAGAAATGTTTTAATAAAAATTTTGAAACTTAATTTTTACTATATCCTGTTATTCATAATTATTAATAACGAACTACAACCTTTGCTAATGACTCATTACTATAATCATGTTGCATTCATTTCCCTTAGTGCAGGCGCACCATTTCTCTCTACTAATACTAGTAATGAATATTTTAGCCGATTGCCATGCCATTAGTCTTGCACTGACTTGTTTGGTGTGCGCACCAGGAAATATTTCGCTTTCGGAGAACATGAAAAATAGGTTTATTTGCATTATGCTTCTTAATTTGTGCAGTTATTCAGTGTCTGGTAAGTTAATGTTCAAGAAAAACTATTAATTTTTATTAAAATATTCTATTATTTTATATTAATGATTACTCATTTACTTCAGCCCTTTGTATTCAGCATGTCTCTATCTAAATAAACCTACGTTTCTATGAAAATTAAAGTTTTTGTTTTTTTGCGGCCCACATAAACTTAAACTGCTTATTTGGCCGTGTTAGCCTTTGAGTTTGACATGCTTTTCTTAGAGCAAAGGCTTTTAGCCTTTCTTCATTGAATATAATTTTAGTTTTAGGATTTTCATAAATGTTTTTTTTATCATGTTAAAGAAGTTTCCTTTTATTGATAGGGTAAGCATTTTTATCATGAAAAGCTGTTGGGTTTTTCAAATACTTTTTTTGGTGTCATTTGAACTGATCATGGTTTTTTTTTCTTTCCTTCAGTCTGTAAATGTGGTGTAATGACTTCTCTGTACTGAATCACCTTTGCAATCCTGGAATAAATCCTACTTGATCATGGGGTATATACCCTTTTTATTTGTAGCTGGTTCTAGTTAGTCTTTTGAGGATGTTTGCATCTATATCCATATTGGATATAGATCTCTAGTTTTCTTGAGATTTCTTTATCTGACTTTGTTTGTAGGGTGATGCTGGCCTCACAATGACTTCGGAAATGTTTCCTCTGAAGTATTTTGGAAGAGTTATAAAGGATTGGTATTCTTCTTTAAATGATTGATAGAATTCAACAGTGAAGCCCTCTTGTCCTAGACTTTTCTTTTTGGGAGGCTTTTGAATTCTGATGTAATATCTTGTTACAAGTCAGTTTGTTCTTGAGTCTTTCTAAGGTGGTTTGTGTATTTCTAGGAATTTTTCCATTAATCTAGGTTATCTAAGTGGTTTTCACATAATTGTTCATGGTATTATTATTATATTTTTAATATTTAAGGTCAGCAGTAACATCCCCACTTTCACTTCTGATTTTAGTAATTTCAGTTTTATTTTTTTAAGTCAATCTAACTAAAGATTTGTCAATATAGTTAATGTTTTTGAAGAACCAACCTTTCATTTCACTGTAATGTAAATTTACTGTGTAATTAGCAATTTTCTAACCTTATGTGTAAAATGCTCAGAAATGCTAGGTATTTGGCTTTATTAATATACCTATTCAGACTTAAATTATTCATTATGCTATTTACTTTTTAAGATTAATTAACCTCCCCCGTCCCAAAATTATATATAAACTTCTTATTTGCTTTATTTCCAGGCATGTACTGGCATTGAAAACATTGATGAAGCTATTACGTTGCTTGAACAAAATAATTGGGACTTAGTGGTAAGTACCTTAATTTTTCCAGCTTTATTGAGCTATAATTGACATGTAATATATAAGTTTAAGGTGTACAATGTGATGATTTGCTATATGGATATGCTGTGAAATGATTATGTTAGTTAACACATCCATTACCTCACATAATTACTTTTTTGTGTTGTGAGAACTTTTAAGATTTACTCTCTTAACAACTTTCACTATAGTTACCATACTGTACATTATATCCCCAGAACTTATAACTGGAAGTTTGTGCCCTTTGACTACCTCACTCATTCCCCCTACTCTGGCAACCACCAATCTACTATTATGTTTCTATGAGTTTGGTTTTCTTTTTAGATTCAACATATAAGCGAGATCATATATGTCTTTCTCTGACTTATTTCAAGTACTTTTTTTTTAAATCTGACAACTATTCAAATTTTATGCAATTTGAATGTCTTAATATTCTTTTTTAAGAAAATATATTTTTATTGATTTCAGGGAGGAAGGAGAGGGAAAGAGAGAGATAGAAATATCAATGATGAGAGAGAATCATTGGTCTCCTGCACGCCCCCTACTGGGGATTGGGCCCACAACCCTGGCATGTGCCCTTGACTGGAATTGAACCTGGGACCCTTTAGTCCGCAGGCCGACACCCTATCCACTGAGCCAAACCAGCTAGGGCATGTCTTAATATTCTTATAATTGGTTTGGCATACCGTAGCCATCTGTAACTCTAATCTGAATGGATAAAACCGAAATATTATAACTTCAATATGAAGTTCAGTATTAAATTACTGAATTATGAATCCTTATGTAATTTAAATAATTTTAAAACTTCTCTTATCTTACTGTGTATTCAGGTTCATCTTCCCTGTAATATTGTGGTGGAGATACTTGAAAGAAGAGATAGCCAAACTTGTCTGAATAACTCTATGTGATGTTTCCCCCTCACTTCCTGGGGCCTTCACTGATAATTATTCCTTTCTGCAGATATTAAAGAAGTGTCATTCTGCTGTGGTTTTCCTTATGAACTTCAGTCAGTTTATTATAAAAGTAGTTCAGTATTTTTGGGGGTGGGGAAGGTGGCAGGAACTCAAAAGGCAAGGCCCATTACAGCACTACACATTCACAAAATTGTAATTAAGTTACAATTGCAAAACAAAGTAAAAAATGTACAATCTTGGAGCAATATTGGTTGTATTGGGATGGCACAGATACCCTCATTGCTTTTGAAATCCCAAAAAAGTCCAAATTGCATAGAAGAAGTGCTAATTTTTCCAAGTCAAAACTTAAGGTGTGTACTTATAGAGCTGAGATTAGATATGTAGGTATATTCAAATCCGTACATGGACTTACATAATCAACTATCAGTTATCTGTGTGCTTTGTGTAGATTTACTACTATTAATTTTTTTTACTCAAAATATAAAAAACATTTATTTTCAGCTTGTAAAAGTAATAATGCTCATTGTAATGAACTGAGAAGATAAATTTACAAAGAAGAAATGAATAATCACCTTTAATCCCATCACTTAGAGGTAGTAATTGTTTAACATTTTTGGGTATATTATTTCAGGGTGTTTTCTCTTAATTATGTGATTAAAATTTTTAAAAATGCAAATGTGATTGTTCTCTTTCTACTGTTTTGGTGATCTGCATTTTTACATAATAACCTGTCATGAATGTTTTTCTACCCAAGTAAATGTGACTGTTTATCATTTTAAAAAATGTTTGTTTAATGTTTACATGTTATTTTATGGTATGATTGTAGCATACTAGTTTTACTAATCAGTAAACATTTAGGAATTTTGCAGTATTTTGCCATTATATATGTTGCTGTAGAAAACGTTCATGTACATACATCTTTCCATACTGAAGCTGTTATTTTCCTAGAATATATTAAGTAAATTCAATTCATAATTAAATTTCTTGGTCAAATTGTATACATACTTTTAAGTTTTTAGATCTTCTAGTTAAATTGCCTTCCAGGATGGTTTAACTAATTTAAATTTCTATCAACAATATACATTTTGAGATTGCCTACTTCATTAAACCACTGTTTCCTTATTATTATTTTTTTAATATTTTGTCACTTGTCAAAATTTACAAATATGTGTATAGGCTGCCTCCACATCCATACCTCTACCACTGTACTGTACTCTTAACAAAGCACTGAGTAGGGGGAAGGGGCAGCAACTTATTTGGAATGATGTCCTCAGGCTTCTTGACTTGAAGCTTCTTTTGCAATAAAGGGCTTTGCTTTGTTTAGTTTGTTCATTTTTAGGGGCTGATGTAAATTATTAGTTGAGGTTAAAAATGCCACCGAGCCACTGTTGCTTGCATGATATGGTTCAGAGGGATATGGGATGGAGTTAAAGAGAGGCTGTGGACTGGAAGTAATGAAGTACAAATCTTTGATGTGTGAATTACCACTTAGGGGGATGGACGTAAGTTTTTTCCTTATGTGATTCTTGTTGGTTTATGTTGATTAGTTTTGAAGGTTAAAACATTTGTTGGTTCTGGATATTTTCTCAATCCAATCTGTCTAGATTATTGCAGAAGGAGAATGTCCTCAGATGGTGTTAAATATTTCAATGGTACAAGTGCTTTCCAACTATTTCTAAGTTAATTGATTTTGGAAAATGTTGTAATAGCACTTGGTTGAAAAACACTGGTACTATATTTGTGCAGAAATGCGATCTCTTACACAGTATTGGGCCCAAGCAAAAGCATCAGGCTATCTTTCACAACCTTAAAACTTTGGCTTTCTTTTGAAATATATGTCCTAGCTGGCTTTTCTCTACAAATAATCAACTTTTATCCATAGTAAAGATTTGTTGTGTTGTGTAATTATCTTGCTCTATAAATGTTCTCATTTCTCCTGTTTTTATATCATATTTACATTGTCATTTAAAGAAAATGAAATTTAAATATTTTAAATAACCCATTATTCAAATTTCATTAGGATCATGGAACTTTTTCTAAGGTGTTTCCTGTATTTTTCCCTTGCATTATATTTTGTGTTTCTGTATTGTGATGACCACTGCTCTGTGTTTTATGAACCTTATGGAACAGTTCATGTAATTATAGAGTTTTTAACCTAAGATATATCTGTATTTTAAATTTCCTGTACATATTAGGTAGATCTCTCCTCCAGTGTTTTTGTGCACATTTTACTACAGAAGTGTAGAGGAATGTGAGTTAGGTACCACAATCTAGAATTGTAATGAATCTAAGAAAATCTAATAATAGAAAACTCATTCTGTCACTTCTGAGGGCTTATAGTGTAATTTGTTCTAGATACAATGGGTACATAAACAAATGTAACAATATATGGTGTCTGACTTTGAGAACTATACTGAAAAATTGATGAAACATATGATCTCTCATACATGTATATTATAATCATAAATGGGAATAACATCCTGAAAAAATTATTACAAATATTTTAGTACAGATATAGATACACAAATAAAAAGTATTCTATATGAAAATATAGCCCACTTTCAGGAATTTTAGTCATTAGTCACTTTGCATGATTATGCACCATATTTTCTTTATATAGCTATCCACAAAGCAGTGCTTCCAAGCCCTATGTTTTATTACCCCACAATTAGACTCTACTTATTTTGAGGCACTTACAGGTTGGGTTTTGTATGTTAAAATTTTGAAGACAAAATAACAAACTTTAATACTATTGGAAAGCATCTCTCAGTATGGTTTTATTTGACATAAAGCCCCACTGCCTCCATCTACCACAGATGTTCATTTTTCACATTTTCCTGCACTTCTAGTTAATTCCTTCCTTGCAGATGAGTATTTTCAGTTTATATCCTAAAAGGTAAACATGTAAGAAAGAATTATTAGTAATGAATTAGAATTTTTACCAAAGGACTGCTTTCTTACATGGAACATACTACATAATCACTATAAATTATAATCTGGGCTCCAGAATTGACCCACTGCTCATTTTCTGTTTTTAGAAGAATTTTGGTCAGTGCAATATAAAAGTCTATACTGTTTGTGTTAATTTTGAGTAATTAAAATGTGAGACAGCTAGCTATAGTCGTAAACCCACTGCATTAATCTTGAATCAGGAGCCTTTGCTTTTCAAAGCTCTTGTTATTATTTTATTGAGTATGCCCTAGACCAGTGATGGTGAACCTATGACACGCGTGTCAGAGGTGACATGCGAACTCATTTTTTTGGTTGATTTTTCTTTGTTAAATGGCATTTAAATATATAAAATAAATATCAAAAATATAAGTCTTTGTTTTACTATGGTTGCAAATATCAAAAAATTTCTATATGTGACACGGCACGAGAGTTAAGTTAGGGTTTTTCAAAATGCTGACACGCCGAGCTCAAAAGGTTCGCCATCACTGCCCTAGACCCAGTTACTTTTCCCTGAACTTCTGAACTATGTCTTCTATATATATAAAAGCCTAAGCAATCAGCCAACCAGCCAACCGGCCAGTAGCTGTGATGCGCACTGACCACCAGGGGGCAGACGCTCAACACAGGAGCAGAAACCACAGGCATGGAAACATGGAACAGACTGATGAATCTCAGAGGGAAGGACAACAGGGGAAGGGCAGGAAGAGATTAACCAAAGATCTTATATGCATACTAGAGGCCCAGTGCACAGATTTGTGTACCAATGGGGTCCCTCGGCCTGGCCTGCAGGGATCAGGCCGAAACCGGCTCTCGGACATCCCCTGAGGGGTCCCGAATTGCGAGAGGGTGCAGGCCAGACCGAGGAACTCCACCAGTGCAGGAATCCGTGCACCAGGCCTCTAGGATAAAATAAAGGGTTTGGACTGGATTATACTCAAGATTCCTTGATACATGAAATGTTTATGAAGAAGCTGTTTATGTCCTAATTTCTGTTAAGATTCTACAAAGAGCAGTAAATTATGAATACTAGTAGTAATATAAGCAAACATTTTAATAGAATGTCATGAGTTTGAAACACTTGTACATGTACCATTTTGTTTAACCCTTTTTAAAAAACAACAACTTTATGATGTTGGTAATCACAGGACAAGATGCTATGCCAGTTGTTTTACAGAGGTCTATACATATGAGATTCCTTCAATTAATTCAAATTTCTAATAAATTATAGGAGGTCCAGGTAAAGGCATCTGACATATACTTGGTAACCCAATGCTAAGAGAAAGTAAAAGTAAACATTAACCTAGCCATACTACATTTTAAGTACTCTATGTTCTTAGGAAATGATTTTTGAACTTTGTACTCAATTTCTGCTGTAGTTTGCTGCCTCTGCTGACATAGCTGTTTTTTTGAAGAAAGACTCTTTTCAGAGGACTTGTATTTATCTTTGACTACATGTTCCAACTTAAGTCAAACATAAAACAAATCAGCTTATTTTTGGATCATTACTGAATTTCTAGTCTTCAAAGATAATATTGTATTAATAGAAGCTTATAATGAAGTCATAAAGAAGGAAGAGTCAAACCCAAGGAAAATTATCATGCACATAATCTGTCTCAGTTTAAGATTTATTTAGGTTCTATAAGACATTTCCATTTCACTAATTTTCACTTTTGAAGAAATGTATCTTAATGATTATCCTAAAATTCCTTAGAACAGTTTCTTCTACTCTACTCAGGATGTGGTTATAGAGTTCCTTGAATGTGCACTGCTTTTCTACTTTATACAGTGTTATGAACACCTGCAGTTTTGTGAATGAACTAGTTTCACCAGTGACATAATGAGTCTCTGTCATCCTCAGAAAGCAGCCAAGCATTGAGCACTGCCCTTCATAAATGGCCATCAGATACTGGCTTATGTTTGCACAGATCCTTGCTATGACAAAAGAGAAGTTATTGTGAAGGGATATCTCATATCCATTTCTCTTCCTTTGATATAGCCTTCTTTGTATTCCTTGTTTTTAAGGGACCATAAGCACATTATTTTACAGAATTTTTCAATTTCTCAATTTGTAATTTGACCACCATCACACCTCTACTGTCTTTCCTTTTATTGAGGGTCTACCTTGTGCTAGGTATCATGTCAAGTGATTTACCTACATTATTTCATTTAATCTTTACATCAGCCCCAAAAAGTGGATAGGTAGGCATTATCTTTATTTTATAGATGACAAACTGAGTTTCAATGATGTTAAGCAAACTATCTGTGCTCATACCACTGATAAGGAGTACAACTGATTTTTTAAAAAAATATATTTTTATTGATTTCAAAGAGGAAGGGAGAGGGAGAGAGAGATAAAAACATCAATGATGAGAGAGAGAATCATTGATTGGCTGCCTCCTGCATGCCCCCTACTGGGGATCGAGCCTGCAACCCGGGCATATGCCCTTGTGACAGGAATCAAACCCGCGACCTTTCAGTCCGCAGGTGGACGCTCTATCCACTGAGCCAAGCCGGCTAGGGCGGGTATAACTGATTTTGAACCCAAACCTCAGTCCATAAAATTTTTCATAGCTTTAAAATAATAGTTTAGGTTATTAGATTTTCTGTATTCAGTGTGTTATTCTCTGAACTTCTCTATTTT